CCTAGCATCTTTATCTGATGGCGTTGGACAGTTTGCTTATGTTAGCCCACCAAGTTCCAATCAAGATGTAGCAAACAACATTTGTGGTCAGAGAGGGGCCCTGCCATAAACTGGGCCCTGGAATGTGCTGTCCACTTCACCTCCAGGTGCTCTGGTTCCCCCACACAACCTAAAAGCATGCAGGACAGGTGAGTTGGAGACAGCCTGGCTTTGGAGAGCTGGGTTGCTCTGCCTGGTGATAGAAGGAGGACTGCAAGGTTCTTTTATTCTGTTGAAAGTCATAAGTTCGAAGTTAAGTTTTAAGCAATAGCACCACTATTGCTGACAAGTGAGGTCAGGTAAAAATGTAGCATACATGCTACCTTAAAAAAAACAGTATACAGTATATACCATGCAGTACTGTATGTAGTACACTAGCATTCCATTACGAATGACCAGTCATCACTCATCTACATTGTAACCTCATTAAATGCACACAATAAAACATTTATTATGAGATCAGAAATTCAGTGAGAAACCCATATTAAAAAATATTTCAGTTCCCAACATGACATATTAAAAAGAAATTAAAATGCAATTCTTATATAAACAAATGTAACTTTTTACAGCAAATAAAGGACTGGATTGCACTGTTAAATGAGTGTTAAGTGTCTTCTAAACATCTAATATTCCTATGCATTTTTCAGCAGCTAAAATGATTAGACATCAAAATAGAACACAAAACCGTTAAGACCAGCTGTTGCTTTTGTTTAAGAACAAAGCATCTTTCACTTAATAAGGAAAATTCACTATGATGCATTCATTTAAAGGCTCGATGTCATAAGAGCAGTAGTTACATTCAAGTTTAACCTAAAATCAGTACTAGAAAAAGAATGTTTTCCCCATGCCTGTCCTGGTAAGAGGGATGCGATTCATATCCTTCATTACACAGTAGTGCAGTATTCACCCAGAACAAATCAGTCTTTACAGCAGGTGTCTTCTCCAACCGTTGAGAGGTTCAGAACAGTCACTAATAAGAGTCTGTGTCTGTCTTTAGCTGGAGGAATTGTTGCTGTCAGCAGACACATGTGATCAGGAACTACATCTCTGCAAGCTCTGCCTGCTTCTCATCCTCAGACTCCGGTTGGTTGTCATCATCACCGTTATAATTTGCCACATCATCCTCTAGATCTTGACCAGCACCTTGATTTTCATCTGTAAAAATGCATAAAATCCTTTGTAATTTTATTGCAAAGGAGAAAAGTACTTCTGATCTATAATGATATACACTGCTCCGGGTGTGTGTTCGTGTTCACTGCGGTGTGTGTGCACTTAGGATGGGTTAAATGCAGAGCACTAATTCCTAGTATGGGTAACCATACTCGGCCACATGTCACTTCACTTTTTTTCACTAAAGCAGATTAAACAACTTTCTGTGACACGCTGTAAATTACCATGGGAAATAAATAATAAGTCACCCCTCAGTTTGTAAAATAAATAAACAGTAGTTTAATTACATTATATCATGAATATTTCTGCATGATATTGAAGAGCACCTTTAATCTTGGACAGCTGTTTTTCTATCTCGCCCTCATTGTCGTACATAATGGCATCTTCCTTCCCAATTGCAGCGTCTTCCTCTTTCCTGTCCTCAATGTTGGCATCTTCCTCCCTCTCATCTCCAATCCCCATTTCATCTTCCTTTGGGTCTAAAATCCCTGCTTCATCCATTACAGTATCTGTATGAAGACAGAAAATTAGTAATATGTGTGTGTGTGTGGTGCTTTGATGGCTGAATTTTCTTTGTTACCCCACCTGCGGCCTTTGAAGCCTGTGCTTTAACATCCACCACTGCTTCTGGAACTTCTTCATTGGCTGATTTCTTAAGAGTCTCATTCTTATTGGTCAGTTTGGAGGTGGGGATGGGTGAGTCTTGTAAAATTACAGCATCTTAGAGGAGCAGACAAAATGTTCAAACACATGGTGAAGGTACATCTTATCTGCTGCTTTAAATGCTTGAGCTCTATAAAGTCGGGTGAATTCTGATTGATTCTCATTCAAAATTTTCTTCTGAAAGTGATTCCAACAATATTGTTCCTCTGTGTTTTTACTGTAGTAGTTGTGGTGTGGACTTTGCTATTCTTCTTCCAGTTCTGATTGATTATTAAAACTTTATAGTTACTGTCACTGGTGTGAACAGCTTTAACGGAGCACATTTGGTAAGAGTGATATTATGGAATCCGAAAACTGCATTTTTCATGGCTGCGTGAAGTTCAGACTCTATGCAGATGCATAATTTTTGGATGTCATTGGAGCCTAGGATGTTTAAATTTTGTGCGACAAAACAGTATGCAACCGTTCGACCAAATGTGGCTTGGAAATCAAATTTCAAGTTCATCACGACTGCCACTAGGAGACGAATTGCATTTTATTCAGAGGTTGCAAGTCGTGATTTAACGGATGTGGCGTCAGATCTTTTCTTCCGTTCTGTGACGTGTACCGTTACACCCCTAGTGATGTACATCCAAGTGTAACAGATTATCGGAAAAACATGGAATGTTTTAAGCATTAAATGCTAAATGGATTTTGAGGTGTGGAGGTTGCACTGAAAAAAGGCAGATGAACGTAAGCTTGCAGGGATGGGGTTTAAGACAAATCGTTCGAGATAAGATCAATAACATGCATTTAGAAAATGTGGTACTCGTGATACAAGCATTAAAACCTAAAATCATGTGGTTTGTTGAGTAGAGAGAACTTTGCCATTACTCTTCTGAGTGATCTGACTTGCATTGAATAAGGGACACGAGCCAGTAATCAACCACCTAGAAACCACAAAGAAGACTTAAACAGGCAACTCGTACCTTTCTCATCCTTTTCCACAACAACTAACTTCATGGTTTGGACGTGAGCATCGTTTTTAGACTGTGAATCCACATCTGGTTTGCCTTTTGGAGATTCTGCCACATTTTTATCAGAATGGTTTGTAGCAGGAACATCAGATTTGGCTTTTGAAACAGAGACTTTCTGTATGGAACCATCAGCATTCTGTGAAGGACAGAGTTTGTGTAAGTGGAAAGGGGGAAAGAGACACCAAAAAGATAAGAATCACTATAAAGGTGACTTTTTTTCCCCCTTAACCGTACCTGTAGAGCAACCTTTTCAGATGTCTTTTGCTTTTCCAGTTTGGCAGCTGCAATTTTCGCATTGCATGCCTCTTTCATGGCCTCAAATTGTTTGTTACACTGAGTCCTGCACAATCCCATCACACACAGCTA